AAAACGACATTGCAAGGAGAAAAAGCAACGGCGATTCACTTTTGCAATGGCACTTTCTCACCGGCGAGACAGGGGTGGTGGTTGTAGAGAGAGGAGCTATAAGGGAGATGTGGGGAGTAAAAATGAACATAGAGGAAGGGAGAACTCGAGGGTAGGGGTGAGATTAAATGTAATTTAATGTTTTTGGGGTCCAGACTCCCGTTGATGGACTCTCGTTAAATTGAGGGGTTTGAGTGGAATTCCATGTGGCATTTTTTCTTTAGGCTGTGATTGTTTTTGGTGTAAATGTGAATCAATCTAAAATTTTATCATCAGTTTGCATTTGCACGTGTTTGTTTTTAGTGTAAATATGGACAGGTGCAAAACTCCATATCTGGTTTGTATTTTTACACATTTGTTTTTAGTATAAGGTTAAACCTTTCCATTGGTTGATTTTTCCATTGATAATTGATGTAAATAATACATCGATAAACATTGATTATCACATCAAAAAAACTTCCACTAAAATTTTAAACCTACCAATTGAATTTTACATCAATGAATTTTCCACTGAAAACAAACGCTGCCTTAGTGGATGTTCTGCATCGTAGTTGCAGAGTAACACAGATTCAGTCCTCACAAAACCATACTCACATCGTTCTCAAATTCACTTGCAGCTATGTATTGAGAATATCTCCCCGTGAATAAAACATACAAGTAAATACACAATTGAAAGTAGTTGTGAATATGTTGTGACCACGACCTTGCAAGGACTAAATTCAATCTCGTTGAGGATGTGAGTTCAACAAAATCAACTGAAATAAGTAATTTTTTATCCTAGGCCTTGTAGATTACTCTACAACATGCCTAGACTCACTTAGGTGGTGTTTGATAGCACTTTTCAAACCTCTGAAGTCTGGAAATGTTGCTTTTCAGATGCCACCTGCGTTTGGGTTGGGTCTAAAACCCAATTTCAGATCTAAATAGAAAATAGCCTCCCTAGGTGCTTAACGTGCTTAGAAGAATTTCAAATGTGGGCGAAAGACAAAAGAGCCCCCATACAAATTTGAAATTGGCCGTAATACCCTTCATATAAGCCAAAAATTCAGGTCATTCGACTCCTCCCTTGGTTCGATAAAGGAGATTTGCCATTGGGAAGTTCTGCTTGCAAGTATGTTCTTTGAATCAACAGGTCTCGCTTTTGTTGTTTTTTTAGGGTTTTTAGCATTCCAACATTTTTTGCTTATTCATATTTTTTTTTTCCATTTTGGTTGTGGTTTCATGTAGCATTCCGACCAGCGACGCAAGCTTCTCCCTCCGACCTTCTCTCTCTCTCTCTCTCTCCCCTCTCTTCTTCTTCTTCTTCCTTGATGTTCTCTACATCCTTTGCTTCACAGATCCATAGATCCGTCCAAAGAAAATTCACAGATCCACACGGTGCCCATGGAGGGAACTCGTAAATCCGTCCCTGACGTTCTCTATAACTCTGTTGTTTGTTCTACACTCTTGAAATTTCAGTTGGGAAGTTCAAGAATGTTGATGCTGCTCTCGGCGATGTGATGGTGAAGGTGCCACTGCCGCTGCAACTCTCAAGGTGGTTAACACCCTCTCCCTGTCTTCTTATACGTACTTTCCAATTTTATTCTTATTTTAATAATTTTTTTTTTTATTTTTTATAATTTTTATTTGTATTAATCATTTTAATTTTTATTAATTATTAAATATTTTAATAGTTTTAAGATATTAATTTGCTAATTATTAAATATTTTTATTGCTTCATGGACTTTATTACTATTTTCATTACTACTTTAACTCTTAATAATTTATTTTTAATTTATAAATTTATATGTATTTTCAATTTTATTCTTATTTTAATAAATTATTTTTGAATTTTTTATAATTTATTAATATTTTTTAATATTATTTTGATTTTAATAAATTATTTTTTATGAAATAGTACAAATTGAATTCAAAATTACCAAATAGTCTATTTTAGAGGTAAAATAGTAAAATCAAAGAATTTCAAATGTTGAAGGTTTGGTCCAACACAAATAACCTTCTTTATTTAGAGCCTCTAAAATGTCGAAAAGCATCTATGTCTCTTTTTAGATTTCAGACACTTTTAATATCTTTTTAACTTTTTAGATATCAGATTTATCTAACTCCACCTCAATTTACTCTAGCCTCATGCATCTTTGTTTGCAAAATAAAGCACCGGAAGAGGCCAGAGCAGTCCATGCTCACTATCAAATTATCAGAGTTTCAAGTTTTACACTCGAGCTCTATTTCTTATCACTTCATTATTTTCTACATCACTAAGAGAGACATATTTCTGAGGCATTTACTATAGTAACATGCCAGAAAGGAAAGCCTCTCGTGGGTGCAATGAGCAATTTGCTTGTATATCATGACCGCTCCCACTCTGATGATGAGTTTCGATCTACTACCAACAAAACACGTTCCAACCCCCTACCAACATGATCTAACACCTCACATCTCATTCATGGTGGGTCCCACTTTTATGGTGGGGCCCAATTTGTGCAGTGTTAGATGAGGTTGGTAGGGGGTTGGAACGTGTATTTTGGTAGGAGATCCCAACTCTCCAATGATACATCGGACCGTATAAAGAGCACATAAGGCTGCATTTGGTTGCAGTGCAATCTAATTTGTACTAGTGCAAATGTATGGGAGTGCAAATGAAAAGAATGCAAATTCTGGCTTAATTTTATTTTGGGTTTTATTTCATTTGTTTCAGGCCTTATTTCACTTCATTTGTATTGCAATCAAATAAAAAAAGGTAAAATTTAAAATAAAAACAAACCAGAATTTACACCCAAATCATTTGCACTACCATAGTTTTGCATCAGTGGAAATTTATTTGCATTGTAACCAAACAACCTTAAGGCTTAGTTTGAAAGGATTACAGATTCAAATAATATAGTGCAAAACCTTGAATTTTATATTATTTACATGTATTTATACTGTATATATTGGTATTTGTACTCTTCCCAAACTAAGCCTAAAATTGTATTTATTTGTGGGGTAAATACATAAGTCCATCGATGTAAAAGCATTCAATCAGATGTGTCAATGTAAAAGGCGAATCGGTAGATGCATTTTTTACACCCTTCTATGTTTGCAATAAGAGTGTAAAACACCAATATATTTCTCATATGTGTTTGGAATAAATAATAGTGTAAAACTACACCCAATTTTTGTAACTGTTGTCGTCTTCTTCTATATACTAACACCAGCTAATCAATCCCCCTTTCAAGTATTGCATTTTTATTTGTGAATGAACCTTCCATAGTTTTCAAAACCGGACCGGACCGGAAAAACAGGTAATCGGTCAGTCCTCGGGTCCGATTATACTATAAACCAGTAATTCCTTAAAAAATGTTGAAAAAGTCAAAAAACTGCTGATTTGAACGGTCGAACCGCTAAATCGTTCAACCCAAACAACGGTTCACAGGTTATAATTTTTTATTTTTGCTGATTTAATAAAATAAAAAAACAAAAAATTAAATGACTACCATATCCCCGACCCCAAATCTTACATGCTTAGGGTTAGAATGACCCCATTTTCGTTCTAACCCTTTCCTCCTCTCAGTCCTCACACCCAACCAACCACCTGCGGTGGCCACACCTACAGCATCCGATGATGATACACAACGACCGACAGTGATTCACGGCAACTGGTGATGGCGGTGAAATTCATCTACAGTGGCAGTGTTGATTTTGTAACAGGTACAGCCGTCCAGTAATAATAGTTGCGGTAGTAATAGGTCTGACAACCGACTTGCAATGGCGGCCAACGATTTTGTAGCGACGGGCGATTTTGCAGCGACGATTTTGCGGGGGTTTCTACTTTCTAGCGGCAGTAACAGTAGAAAGCTTGCAGCGGCAATCACCTACGAACAAGCCCGAGCCCACCGACGGCGAGCCAACCGTCACACTACCATTACTGGCAGTGAACCGGTGAAGGACCTGAAATCTATTTTTCTTACAATTGATAGATAAAGATAATAGAAAATGAAGCTTATTTCTCTTCAACTTGAGATATGTACATAAAATGTTTTACGAGAATCATATCAGGATCTCACCTCCTTGTTCTAGAAATTCACTCTAGGTAAAAAGAAAAGGAAAATGGAATTGCTCCTCTGGCCTTGTTAAGAATCATCAACTGAAGTCATCAATTCCCCAAAAAGTTTGAACTTGTCAATCTCCTCATTCTAGAAATTCACCCTAACTAAAATGAAAAGAAAAACAGCATTGCACCTTTGGCCTTGTTAAGAATCATCAACTCAAGTCATCAATTCCCCAAAAAGTTTGAACTTGTCAGTCTCCCCAAAAAGTCATCAATTCTGTATTTTTTGTGTATTTATTTAATTTTATGTTATTTTTTTATTATTTGTAAATATATTTTTTATTTTTAATTTATTTATGACATCACGGGTTAAACCGTTTGACTCAGACGGTTGAACTGCTTAACCAAAAACCGGTCCCCCTGACCAATTCTATTTCCGGTTCATTTTTAAAAACCTTGGAACCTTCCTCCAATCCCCTCCATTCCCTCGTGGTTTTATCTGTACCCAAAAAACAGGGGCAACTGTCGTCGTTAGAAATGGGAAAGAAAGGGCTTTTTTATGCATCAAACCCAGATCAAAGAAATAACAACTTTTATTGAGATCTGATTAAACAAAACATCCAAATCTAACATATACAAGAGATAATAAAAACACAAGAACAGAAAAATCGCAGAACTGTAGATCAGTATGTTGAAATAGTAAATATACCTTGTTCATGACGAGATAGATACCGCGAGATTCCTTGACCGGTGGACCTTCCTCTGTTGTACAGAAAGAATGCGTCCGGACCTGGCAAAGGAGAAGAGATGGTGTGAGAGAGAGAGAAAAGAAGAAGAAGAAGAAGAGAGGGTCAGACCGATGGAGAGTTCGAGCCACTTTTTCATTGATTTTTTCAATGTGAAAAGCACATGGGTTTTTTTTTTTTTTTTTATGTAAAAGTAGATTTAAATGGTGATTTACATTGATAATGGGTCTTAATTTACATTTCATCCAAACGCATACAAAAGTGGACTACATTGTAAAATTACATCTAACCGAGAACAGAAACTGAATTGGATGATGACAGGGAAGGTGACTAATTGGACTCCGGATCTCTTGCCAATTTATATTAGTGCCGGAACACTCGCAGTATAAATAGACTTTCAAAGGGTTACCTCAATTCAAACAAATCTGGTTTCATGGGCATCCGTGATTTATTGGCATGCTCAAAGGGTTCAACTTGAGGAAGTCTTTTGGTGCTTTGAGTTGCTACTTGATGTAGGTGCACATGGCAGGCTCAATGACATAGGCGCACATGGCAGGCCCAAGATGGTGATGCATGGCACAAGTTAGATCGCATCCTCTGGCAGTTTATTCATAACAAACTTCAGGCAGGTTCAAGTATAAATAAGTGGTGTCACTCCCTAGGTAAGTTATTTTGGCTTCTACTGCTCTAAGTTTTTTAGCTCTTTGGTGACCTTGTCTGAACTATCTCTACTCAAGCCTCGTCCAATCCTTTGCTACGCCCTTGCTAACTTGACCGTCGGAGTTTCCACCCCTGGGATAACACCTAGGGCTTCTAACGTCTTCCTTTGCTCATAGGTCGGACCTTGAAGCTTTTGGCTCTATCAGCCCTCGGACTCAGCCAGTCCTCGTCTACAAAAATAAAATTACATTATTACCCTCGACCCATCATTGATAACAACACTACTCAAATCAGGTACTAATTAAACCACTTTCTGGATGCAGTCATAGAGGATTGCTAGGGTTGTCAACGATTTGAATCGAATCAGGGTAGATTCTAAAATCAATTCCATCTAATATCTGTTAAGTTTGAATGTTAATCAGATTGATAAATTATTTGAATATAACCCTTAATGTTCACAGAAACAAGTTTCTAGAAAACTGGAAACTGTTTTCTTTGTTAGTTGTTTAAATATGTGAGCCACCATCAAATATGTCAACCCATTGAATCACCATTCGACTGTCTCTCCCTAATACCAATTTCTCAGACTTTTGGAATGAGAATTCTGTTTTGTAGTGATCTCCAAAACCTTTGTCGACAAGTTGCATGTATTTTATCTTTTCTTGAAGAATAGATATTAAAAAGAATCAAGTACTGCCCTGCAAGACACTGATTTAAGTTGGAGAGTTGATCTAAACAATGAAAAGACATTAACATTTGGAAATGAATAGAATTCTTATTAGGCTCAGTTTGAAAAGAGTATAAATGCAAATATGTACAGTATAAATACATACAAAATAATACAAAATATAAGGTTTTATACTCTACATATTTGCATTTGTACTCTTTCTAAACCGAGCTTTAAGGAAGCAAAAGGGATTGATTAGGTATGGATAGAATCCACAATTACTTCTCAAGCGTTAAGCATTTGAGTCTGATTCTTGTGTTACGCCTGGGACTCCCTATAGTGAAAACACTGTAAATGGTGAAGAACATAATGTAATAAGCTTCTTATAAATATTTTGAGTTATTTGAATTCTTACCTTCTTAAGTTATTAACAAGGAAATTGTGATGGTTTGTAAAGAGTGGAGAGACCTGTTGTAGGATACAGGTACTGCATATAGGTACTTCAAGACCTAATTTTGGTTCTGTGCCCTGGAAATTTCAGGGCACTTTGACATTTCTTGACATTTTGGAGACAAGAAAGCTAGTGTTATCAGGCTCTCTTTTGATCCTGGATGTTTAACCAGAATATAGAATAAAACTACACATTTTGCATCTTTAATAATGTCTTGACCTGTTCATTTTTCCAGCTTTTTATCTACTTCTCTAGTTTAAGGTGTTGAGTTGATTCCCTTRATTGGCAGCATATACAAAAATATCCTATCACTCCTCTGCTGATTGTTTCAGAGATAATGGAGGAGGTAGATGAAGGAATATACAATGAATGTGAGCATGATGATCTGCTTGCAAAGAAGGAACTAATTGGATTGAAGATAAAGGTAAAGAAGCATATTTTGTTTGATGCCTCATAATTATGCTACCATATGTTTACCTCATTCTTAAACTATCATCTGGATGGTGTTTGGTTCCACTGACATTTATCAGAAAATTGGTGTCAGTTCAGCACCACATAGGCATATACCCCAGTGGAGTTTGAAATGTTGTTTGGTTAAACCATTTACCAATAAAATGCTTTTCTCGGGTTGCGCAAGTCTCATCCGTTTGGAGAAAATGCCATTTTGATGTTTCCTTCAATGGTTAGGCTGTTCATCTTATGTGGTGCCTAATAGCACCTAATGGAGCCTAGCTGTCATAAAAGCAATGAAAAACGTTTTGTCCCAGTTTTCAAAGAGAGATCCCAATTTTTAAGAGAAAAATCATACAAAATGTTTTGCAGATAAATGGCAATGGAACTAAACAGACCCCTGTTTATTTGTTTGGTAATCCATTTAACAATTCTGCAAAGTATATTCAATGTTTAAAATTAAATTTTCTTATAATTTTATCATTGAGTCGTTTATGTGACACTGACTTCATAAAGACTGGGCTATTCTTTTTTGCATCAGACCAAACGGTGGAAGATCAACATTGTGGGCATTATGGCATAGGATTATGAAGGGTTAAGACTTTGGTGACTATCTTAGGTTTAGTAAATCAGGTAAGAATATGGATTTTACAATGTACTATGGTTCTCGGGTTAATGAGACAATTCAATCAGGTAGAATGGCCATACAGGGGTCATCTTGGTATATGCAGAGATTGTATGAACGATGACTATGGGTCTGTTTGGTTCGCAGGAATAGGTATTTAGAATCGGTTATGGGAATTCCATTCTCATTCTAGGTGGAATGATGGGATTCCCTATATGAGGGAAGGGCCACTTTCCATCCCCCATGAGAATGCAATTCCCATTCCAACCTCTCTATTTTGTATTTTTTGTTTTTGGGAAAAACACGCTCATCCATTCCAAAGCCCTAATTGACCCAAGTCCTGAGCATCTCCATCAGACCTTCCTCCATCCAAGTAGCCGCCGCTGACCACCATCTCCGGTGAGGTATGACCACTGCCAACCACCATCTCTTCTTCCTCCTGTATCCTCTCTTCTCTCTCTCCCTATTCCTCCTCCCCTTAGTCACTGTCGTTGCTGCTAATACTGCAAGCGGTCGGTACTAGCCTAGCTGAACAGACATTCCACCCTTCTTATTCCTAACTGGGGCAAAACTGGAAATTTTCGCTAATTCCAATTCCGGCTTCCAGTTGAACCAAACAGAAATAATCGGAATCCGATTCTAATTCACGTCTGAACCAAACATACATTGGAAATATGAACAAGATTCTATGGAAAAGAGTAATTCGAGCAAAGTATGGTAGAAGAAATGAAGGGTGGGATCCACGAGAGGCAAATCAGTCATTTGGTTGCTCCATTTGGAAAAAGGGTTGGAAAGAGCTATAGTTCTTTTAGCAAGGAAATCAAGGTTGAAGTAAGGAGAGAATCCAAGTTTAAATATTGGATGGATTGCTGGTGTGGAAACAATTTGTTAAGGCTGCGTTTGGAAACGATGCAAGTGTGAGTGCAAATATGCAGAGTATAAAATGGTTCATATAAATTGTAAAATTGGGTTAGTTTTGCATTGACAAATTTACCTTCTTACCATATAAACTTTTAGCTGTAATGGATGCAAACACGAATTCTAATAAAGCATATGTTTTTTTTTTTTTTATCAAAAGCTTACTTGAATGCAAATTTACTTATTTTTTATTGATATACTTTTACATCTTATTATCAATGTAAATATGCATTGGTCTGTCATTTATCAATGTATAAATGTAATATTGCTAAACACAGGCAAAAGTGAACCAGAGTACAAATTTACCCTGAACCGGGATTTACACTCCATTTGCATCGCTTCCAAATACAACGTAACGTAAAGGATGATTTTCCAGAACTGTTTGCAATTGCAATGGATGAGGCAAAAGTGGCTGATTATGTGCACTTTCAAAATGGGGATCATGTTTGAAGCCCACAATTTAGAAGAGCTCTGAATGATTGGGAGATTGAACTTTTGGACAGATAACTTTAGAAGCTATACAGCATGCAAATTGATTTTAATTCAGAGGCAGAAGGGTGTAGTCAGCAGATAGAAAGGGTCATTTCACAGTAAAATCTTATTATAATAAATTGACTGAAGAGGACGAGCAGGATTTTCCTTGGTATGTAATTGGAGCAAGTATATCCCTTCAAAGGTGGCTTTCCTGTTTTTGGTCTGCCTATCTGAACAAGATTCTTACAAAAGACAACCTGGTCAGGAGGGGAATGGCGATTGACTCACCTGAATGTGTATTATGTAACGGAGTAGAAGAATCAGCTGGCCACCTGTTGCTACATTGCAGTTTTACATACAACATATGGTGAAAATCTTTAGCATTTTTGCCATCAAAAGTTGCTGCCTTGCATCCCATGGTCTGAGTTAGAGAGGGAAAATTCTATGGAAATTTGTCCCAGGAGCAATTTTCTGATGGATATGACAGGAAAGAAACCCAAGGCTCTTTCGAAGTAATGTCCGTCTGGAGGAGGAAATGTCGCAGAAAATAGTTGGAAACTGTTATCCTGGTCATCCGCACATCTATCAACAGATCGTGTTTTCCTTAGTTCTCTCTTTCAGTATGAAAACCCTTTTGCAATGACAAATGGGATAGTGGTCTAATGTTTTTTGTATTCCCACTGTATAGCGTCTGGTTGTACATGGGTCTTTTTTTCTCTCTTTCATAATGAACTAATAAGTGATTCCCATTTCGATTCCTATTCCAATCTTGGTTACAAACCAAACAGACCCTATGTACAGAAATTAAAGGCAATGGGATATGGACAGTGAACAGCTGGAAGGGTTGTACAGAATTTAAGATTTAAATTCTGGGGCCTATCTTCGAACAACCAGAGGCTAGATCACCATGAGAAGCATGTTTTTAGTGCCACTTTTAAAAGAGTGTATACACCACAGTTACCTAGTTTATAGATCTGCCTGGTTCACTCTAGGGTTTATAATACATAAACATATATAGTTTGTGAGATTGAAATGAACTGGGTCATTTGTAAGATTTAAATGAACCAGGGTTTATTTTCCTACAGTTTTCTCTGTGGTGATTTTAGGTTGCTAGTGTGTATAAGGTATTATACAGGTATTATCCAGGGTAACATTTATTTGATTATGCAAAAGGCTACAGTGTTAGCATACCTCATGATATAGAATTAATACATGAGTTGATGTCTGTAACATATTTGGGAACTTAAATTAAGTTGGATATGATTTTGTACATAATTCTACTAATTACATATTGTAGCATCCAGATTATAGACCTCTTATTTTGGTTCTGTTTTCCTTATCACCTCATCATCAAAGTACTGATTTCGTAGGCGTATCTTTTGTAGTATCTTTTCATAGCTATTTCCTTCTGAACCAATATGAATCAACTTACAATCTGGTTCACAGAATGCAATTCCAGTAATGCTAAAGTAATAGAGGTAGCTGTTGTATACATGCATAGATGCATGACTATGGCTAAAGTAATATATGGTACTATTTCCACTTCGAGTCATAACCACTGTTAACCTACACTGCTCCAAAAGTTCTGCATATTAGGAAGAAAAGGACAAGCTTTTGCCAAGTAAACAGGAGTTTTCTCTGGATACCGTTTCTTTCTTCTCTTTTCTTTTTAAGAAGAATAAAGTATACTTTTATTAATAAAAATGAAACCCCTGTATAACTAAAGGCTGTACACCGGGAATTTACAAAAAACAAAACCACAAAGATGAGAAATTATACAACAATGTCCTTTGTGTTTACAAAAAGATTATAATAAGCACAAAAAAGAGCAAAATCTGATCTGTTAAGCCTGTTCTGTCCTGCTGTTCAAGAATACATTTTTCCCACTATTTTCTACCAAACCTCCTCAACTGAGCATCCTTTGTTCTGAAAAATTCTAGGGTTTCTTTCCTGCCAAATTACCCAAAACACAGCCCCCGGAATCATTTTCCAGAAATTTCCCCCTTCTTGGTCAAACCATGTAAGTACCAGCCATTTGAGAAACACTCCACAGATGCTGGACAACAACCTCTGACAGCAAAAAACTTGTACACTTTTACCCAGATGTTGTATACTTGTATGCGAATCTATGATGTATCAACAGGTGATTCACTGGTTCCTCCATCCTATTGCATAGAACACATTCCAATGAATCAATCCCCACACCACTGCTTAAGAGGTTGCCTCTAGTAAGGATCTTATTTAAGTAGGTAATCGTACGAAAAAAGATACCCTCGACCTCGAGGGAATGTGTTTACACCACACTATACTCTTAGGAAACTCCTGATTTTCTTACTGAGTCAACTTATTATAAAAAGACTTGGCAGTGAAGTGGTGAACTTCCATGATTTCTCTCCTAACCAGTCTTCTGTCCTCTCTGTTATGGTCAATTTGCAGATTTTATAGCTTCTGAAACAGTCTAAAAAATGCTCTACTTCAAAATTAGCCTGCATACAGTCAGCAACTTCCACTTCCTGGATACTAATTTATTGAAAAGGTTCATGATTCTCTAGTTTGGAAGCAAGAATTCAAAATTAGCCTTGTTGGCTAGGAAAATAAGTTCCTGCAAAAGAATGAATTGAGCCGGTTTGGAGTCACCAAAGGTTGGAGATTTTGCTAAGAGTGTGATATCTTATGATTTAATTGATAGCAGCTAAATATGGAACTAGACACAAGGGTTTGGAGTTGCCAGAGGTTGGACCATGATATTGGTTGTGCAGTTTGGAAGGTCATTTGAAGTGCTTATTTCTTATTTCATTAGAGGAATTGGTTTTGGTGTCACTGGTTACTTTCTCCATAGCTACAAGTGAAGCATTGGTTCTGGCTTTCTATGAGACATGGCCCCTATGTGGCAGGAGTGAGGATTTGGCTGTATGGATGTCAATACTCCGATCTAACACTGCAAGACCAAATAAAAGAGAAACTTTGATCAAGCCCAAGTGTGGGATCACCAAATTCTGTTAAAAGCGGCATTTATAATCTGGACAACATTTATATGTAATTTCTAACTAAAGATAAGTTGGTGGCCTGTGGTATCGATATCTCCAATTTGGGCTGCAAATGCAAATGCTGACCATATTTTCATTCATTGCAAGATAAGCATGGGTTTTAGAAACATTTTCTCAAGATCTTTTTTAGTGTATTGGTGCTTCAGAAGGATGTCAAAGGAAACTGTTGAGTGCTGAAATATAACAAAGATTAGTGAAAAAATGAATCTTTAAGGATTATCATTTCACTTGCTACAATTTGGGTAATATTTTGGGGGATGGGGGGATGAAGCAGAATTTTTTAAAACAAAGCATCTCTTATTATTCTTTTGTTTTATATTATGCAACTTGTAGATAAAATCAGTTTTAGTATTTGGGTAATACTTCTTGTACAGGGGCATTAGGCAATGTTACTGTAGCATAAATTGGTTTGTTGCTGAATTTCATGTTTAATCAGATATAGTTTTCCCATTCCAAAATGAGCATTGTTAGTGGTTACATCCAGTGCATGATTTTCTGTTCCTTGCATTTGAATTGCAACCATCTTCACATAACCATTCATTGATTGCAAGAAAAAGCTGTGATTGATGTGTACACTCTACTAGACAAAAGGTGTGCCATTTTGCAAGTAATACCCAAGGAAGATTTCAAATTCTAACAGCAAATCTTTCTTTAGATCTGGTGAATCTCCCCTGTGCTTTGATCAAGGGATAGTGCTTGGAATTCCAGAAAGAAAAACACCTGCATACACCTAAATGCTCTGCAAGTTGTTGGAATGTGTTTCGATTTTCAACACTCATGCCCACAGGCAATGTAGCCCATTACATTGGTGGGTATAGATGTTACATGTGATTCTGTTTCGAAGGTTGACAACTCATGGGCACCTAAGAACATGCTTTCCCAATAATTTTCCTTGTTGATATAATGATGATAATGACAAAGTGAAGTCTTATCAGACTGATGGATTTAAATTACTGTGAGATCATTTGGTTTGCATCCTGAAACTTGGTTGGAATTCAGAATGATAATTCTAAGACTAGACCCTGTAAAGTTCCATAAAACTTGCAGTACTGACTACTGAGGTTCTGATCATTCTGTCAAAATCCACTGTCCAAAATCCCAGAATCAGGTTGAAAGTTTAGGCTACACTGTAACTGATTACAGAGTCTGCACATTGGATTCGAACCAAATGCCTTGTGGTTGGGGTTTCGAACAGAACCCTGAGGTTTGAGCTTCCTGAATCCTGAACAGCCATGAGCCTACAACTTTTAAGCTTCTACAGCCACTTCAAACCCTGACCTCTTCAGTGCAGTTAACTCGGAGCTTTGTGCTATTGTACTGGAACCCATTTCTTTTTAGTGGGAAAACTTTCACAATACAAAGTAATGGTACATGCACTACCACCAATTCGTACACAGAACGGAATAAAAATCAAGGAGGTGGGGCTCTCTCCCTTTTGTACAATAGAAAGAGTTCCAACTATTTCCTGTTTGTACCAACCAAACACTATCTCTAGGCTCCAAGAACTTCTTTTTCACTATGACATTTGAAAGGTGACGTCTCACAAGATAACGGATATGGAACAATGGATAACTGAATATAGCTTTAATGGGATGTGATTCATAATGGAAATTCATTTAATACGGTACATCTAAACCATTAGATCGGTATATAACAAAATTCTTCCCAATAGAAAAGACAGATAGATATCCGTATATCGATGTTAAGTGGATCCCAATCCAATGGTTCATAGCTCATTTACATATGCTTTCCAAATAATCATGTCTCTCTTTTTCTTTTTCTTGATAGGCCTCACATCTTTATCCTTGTTGGACAAAAGAAACTCCAAATACGAATAAATGGTCTCCGGCGAGTCTGGGGCCTACTGGTCCATTCTTTCAATCAGGACAAAAGAATTCATGGCCTTACCTCACTTTGGTTCTTTCCACCTTGCATGTGGAAGAAAAGAACCTACTACACTTCACCAGAGAATAGAAAACTCTATACTCTGCAGACATTCAGCTATAAATAGTCGTTGGGACTCGATCATCAAACCAAACTCTCACTCAAGCTAATCACCTTTTTCTTTGAACGTTCTGAGTGTTTGGAGATAAGAACAAACACTCTAGGACTGACAACAGTGAAAATCTGCTCTACAAGAATTAAAATCTCAGAGTAGCCGGTAGGAGACTTGTGTTGTTTCTGAATCAAGATTCTGAATTCTCAAAGGTTGTTTCTCTACGATGGGTTCTTTAACGGCAGGATGGGGTTCACTTGTTCCAGATGGTAAAGCTGGCAAGTTCTCTTATAATCTCACCTGTTCTTCTTATGTTTCCTGGTTTTAGATTTCATATTGGGCCCTTTTATTCCTCGGTAATTGTTCTTTTGACATAGAAAAGCTACGATCCGTTAATGGGTTTACAGTATTCCATATGGTTTCTAATTAACTATGGGTTTTTCAGCAAAATTCCTGAGGAACAAGTCCTTCACCAAAGGAGAAATTGACGCTTACTGGAGATCAAAGAAGAGAATAGAGGAAGAACATCTCAAATCCATTTCGGGTTTGCATGATCACAGTCAGGTATTTATAATATTTTTGCCTTCAGAATTTCATATTCCTGCTTGTATACCTGCTTGTTAGAAGCTTGGAGACTATGAGAATAGTAGTTTCCCTGAGATTCATTACTCGTCCAACTCAACCAATTGGCTGGATTCATCAGAGTCGATCTCCTAATATCCAGGCAAATCTATCCCTTGCAATTCAAACAGTAAACATCTGTATCACATCAACAAGGACATGAGCCGCACATGGGTTCATGAAAATTTGATCCAGCTAACATGGGTTTGTGTTGAATGTTGATTACGACAGGAGAGCGCAAATACAGGAGGTGGGCTTCAGAGGTCGAACTCCGAAGCAGATGTAGAGGCGCTCAAGAAGAAAATGGACTGGTGAATTATTAGCTTACTTACGTTGATCTTAAAATTGAAGCTTCAATTAAGCCTGCTATTGTATGATTATATTCTTGGCTTCTCTTGTTTACTCACTCCCTCGGCTGTTTTCAGGTGGACTCGGTGCGGCTCAGCTTTTCTGAATCAACCTCCTGTGATTGCTCCAACAAATATGCGTCACGCTTTCGCATGACAGCAGGCAGCTGGCTTTGGCTCCTCGAAGCCAGATGTTCGCTAAGAATAAGTGTGTACAAAAATAATACTATACTACGTACAAAACTGGTTAATGCCATGTGTGGAACTGAGAGACTCGAGCTTCAAGTATTGGTAATGCAGGAAGACTGAAAGAGTGGATGGATTAGAAGAACTGGTTAGGATTCGTTTCTATGTACGAAGAATGTAATGTTGTCGAGCTTTGCGTATGATGCAAATTATTAATGAATGGGACTGTATTTCGTGTAGTTCAGAAACTCCTTTCAGGTTTCAACTCCAGATGGACTCAGTTGTGCTAGTGATTGTTGTAGTTTTTTTCTGTTTCAGTAATGAATTTCCTATTTACGAAAAGATGGACTGCGTCAAGATATCTAGTTCTGGATGATCTATTTTATGAGAAATTTGATCGGTCCCAGAAATCTCAATCAACTTGATTGAATTCAAGTTGGAGCCAGTTGAATCGGGGCTTCAACCTTCAGGTGATCCACCAAGCAAGATGACGATTGTCTTCACCTAATATATATACAATAGAATGTAGGTAGGAGGGTTATAATTTAGATTTAGGAGGAAGGTAGTAAGCTAGATGATGTAGTTCCTACTTAAAGGAAAAAGAACTAGGGTAAAATATTAAAACCTCTCTATAATTTCTGACAATCATAAAAATTTCCCTCATTTTTATCAAAACCTCCGGTTACTTCCCTTTCATTTTTTTTTACCGAAATGAAGGCTTCAAAGTTCACAAATTACCCGTACAACTTCTTAGATATAATTTAAAATATCAGATTTGCCCTTCTAAATTATAGAATAAAATTATTTTATTCTTTTCAATCTAACGATTGTTCCATGTCAGCACATTTAGCCTCTAAGATCTTCGAATCAGGTTTGTTTCTGTTGCTACCCGGATTGTCCGAGGGCAACAAAGTAAAAATACTCCTGAGCTTTGAAGGCTGGCTGAAGGCTTCGAGGGGTTCAGAGGAGGTGTGCCGAGACTGAGAGCCGTAGGCTGAGGTGGATCGTCTTTGAGTACCATAGAAGCCGAGGGCTGTCGGTTAAGTGGTGAAGTCCTTGGGTAGATGTCAGAGTTCCTGGGTGAGAACCTAAGGCAGAGGCTCCGATGGTTAAGTTAGTATGGGGGTTGAAGAGAGGGATCTGGTGCAAACGAGGGCTCTGAAAAGGGTGCGTGTACGCACTAGGCTCCCAGGAGGTAAGGTCCTTCACTTAAGTTTAGAATTAGAGCTGGTATTCAGGGATCCTTTACCTCGAGGGGGGTACCTCATATTTATACTTGAACTGCCTAGAGATTGGTGGAGATGGACACCCCCGATGAGCTCCGTACGAGGGTGGTCAGCAGGAGAAGCGGGGACGCTGGGGTGTTCCACTATTGGCTCCGTACAAGGGGAGTAGGGTAGCCCCTGCCATGCTGGACTGGGACCCTAGCTAGCGTCCGTGGGCTGGGCCCTCTAGCCAGTAATGGGCTGGGCCAGGTTACCCAACATCACTTGCCCCCACTCCCGAGGCCAAGGCGGAGACTTCAACTTTGACCGAGGGGAGTAGCAATGGTGGGCGCTAGTGGGCCTGACGACTAAGGGATACCCTACAGGGCGTCGGATTTCTCATACCTTCGTTCGGTTCGTCTTTTGCAAGCGGGGGACAAGGTTGCTGGCACGCTTCGGCCTTCTGGGAAGGTTAAGCAGCAGGGCCTCGAAAGAGCCGAGTCCAAGTCTTCTCACACTAGCGGCTCGAAGGTGCATGCTGCGCTAGTGTCTCGGGCTGGTGCATGGGGACCGTGCCCAGTACAGATTCGAAGACCAGGTGAGATTCCCGTGTGCAGTGGCCTTTTGGGTAGGCTGGTGTGTGCATTCACCGGGTCAAAGGGCCCAAACTGGCGGGTCACGGCGACTGGGTCCATTGGTTCGCCCAGGATGTCATTTCATCTTCCGAGGGCATGCACCTGGGGATATGACGCGGTTGGGTTGCTGATGCGAAGGTCCCCACAACCGTTGGATCTGTCACGATCTGAGTCATTGCTTGAGCATCGTTTCATCTTCCGAGGTTGGGCGCTGAGTGGCGTGCCGCGGTTGGGTTGTGGAAGCGGAAATTTCTTGGCTGTTGGATTCGGCGAGATCTGGGCCATTCGTTCTTCTTTAAATATGGGCCTTAAGTGTCAATTTTTCTCCGTCATTGTCTCTAGGCAGCCTCACATTTGAGTGAACCACTGCTCCCAGACCTTCAACTTTCCAGCACACCTCATCTTCCTCCTACCCTTCATCTTTAGGTAATTCTTTTCACCATGTCTCATTCTGATTCTGGCCCGGAGTGCTGTGAGCTTCTGATTGGCACAGAAGGGAGTTCTCCTTTGACTTCATCCCCTTTTTCCCCAGGTTCCTCGATAGTCATCCCCCCTCAACGGGAGGTGATGGTGCTAAAGGAGAGGATAGCCTCTGGGGGTGCCTTGGGCAGCCGCCGAGGTAGTGACCCTCCCTGTGAGAGCGCCGCATTAGTGACGCCGAGGGAGCCAGAGGGGTCCCCCCAATTCGAGGGGGAGGAGACCCCAGATCTCGCCCTAGGGATGGTGGCCAAAAGTGCTGCCCAAGGGGCGGCCAGAGCTGGTCTTCCATGTTTAGAGTTCGATAGTTCTCTAGACGTGAATCAGATTAAGTCCTTGGCTAGGCAGTACTTCATACCTCGGACTTACACCATTGGGGTGCCCGATGTAGGTGACTGGCCATGGACTCCCGAGGAAGGGGAGATTTGCATCTACCAACACTTTCTCCAGTTCGGCCTTAGATTCCCTCTTCACCCTCTGATCTTTGAGTTGTTGAGGTGGTATGGGGTCACCCTTAGCCAATTTGTAGCCAATGCTCTTAGGACCATGGTCGTTATGCTGGTGGTGGCTCGGCTTCAAGGGGTGGAGCTGATGTCGAAGCTCTTCCAAGCTATGTTTGTGTCGAGGAAGCATACTTCCGAAGCCGGTATGTACTATTTCCAACCCCGTAGGAATAAGCCCGTAGACAAACCTTCGTCCGTTCACAATTGGAAGAGTAAGTTCTTCCTATCTTGCCTTGAGGGTTGGTCTTTCAAGTCGGGATGGGGAGAGGCTTGCCTAACGGTGGAGAAGAGTGCCCCCTACTTCAGGATGAGGAGGCTACTGATCTAGCTCACCTACTCGTGCTAAGGAGAGTCCAAGCCTAGCCCTTGGTGGAGGAGGAGCTCCCACTGGTGTTCGCAGGGCTTAGTCCTTCTCCCCTTAGTATAAAAGGTGTTGTAGCTTTTTTTTTTAACATGTTGCCTTTGTCTTTGGCTTGCTGTACTAATGACTTCTTGTTTATTTGCAGAGGTACACATGGACACCAAGAAGCTATTGGTAGAGAAGGAGCGGGCCAAGTAGAGGGCTCGGCCGAGGGGAAGCCTGTAAGGAACGATCGGGTTCCTGCCCCTCCATCGAGGGGAAATGCACAACAAGTCCCTATCAACCGAGGGGACAAGGGCAAGAGGCCAGCGGCCGAAGATGACAGGAAAGCGGTAGCCGAAGGTGACAAGAAGCTGGCAGATCGCTCGAAGAGGCCTGCAAAAGGGGTTGAAGCTGGTCAGACGAGGTCGGTTCCTGCGGCCGAGGCTAGGAAGAAGAGGCCAGCCGAGGGGACACCAAAGGGGCAACCGCCGACAAAGGTGGTTCATCAAGAGTGCCCTGCTGGGGGTGCTACATTGAAGAAGACCCTTACAAAGGGGCACCCTGGGGGGATTGCATCTATCCCCACTTCCTTTCAAGGGGCTGCTGAAGAGGCCGGGCAGCCCACGAAAGTTTTCCACCCCCAATGGTCCATCCACGAGGGGGATTCTATTACAGAGAAGGGGGTCGGGAAGGCCTTGATGAGCGGGAAGATTCTGCCGAGGGATGGCTTCAAGATGATGCAGAGCAACCCCCAGTTCGTTTACAATGAGGGGCTCTACCACATGGCCAAAGTGATGCCCAAGTTCGATGTTGACGGACTGAAGGTGATCCCCGACTCTCCTTTGGCTTCGGTTGCGATTGTTGATGAGGCTACCGAAGGCAACGAGGTCTCTGCTCTCCCTCCTCTGGCCGATGGCAACGCTTAGTGGGGCTCTTCTGTCCTTCTTTGCTTTCTCTCTCTCTCTCTCTCTCTCTCTTTTTAGTGATTGTAAATGTGTTCGGCCTAAGAGGCCATAAAACCTTTTTGTAAAGGCTCAATACTTGAAGTTAATGAAAAAATCATGCATTCTTTTTGTACATTGTGCTCCTTTTGTTCTGTGCATTGTGTTCTCCCTTTCTTTCTTCTTTCTTTTTTCTTCACCGAGGGGTCTCTACCCCTTCCAACGATGAGACCATAGGGCACACACAAAAAGTACCTTGTACTGGATCGTTATATGCACGCCTTAGGTTGTTAGGAGGGAGAGGTCAAGGTAGAGCTACGTGACCGAAGTACGGCTCACTTGGCCTAATTCCTTCTATGTATTCACTTAGGCAAGGCCGAGGTGGCCTACTGAAATCTAGGGGAGAGGCTAAGGCAGAGCTGAAGCTTGCCTGGCTCTCTTCTTCCCATGGTTGCTTTGGCAAAGCCGAGATGACGCTTTGAGGAGGTCGAAGTCTCGGGCTAAGGCGAACCACCGAGTTAGTCGGGGTTGTCACCTTTAGTTAATCACGCTAAGTGTATAAGACCAAGAGGCCATCGGCCGCCGAGGCAGCCAATGAGGCGTGCGAGGCCTCAGCCGTCCTAGGGTAATTTGGTGAGGTGTTAGGGTGTTCGCTATTGGTAATATGCCCTGGCAACGGTCTGACACGAGTGCATGGTCCTCGGGAGAGGTTGTGCGTCTCGGACAGTCACGAAACCGAGGGGTCTTAAAGACTTAGTGAGAACACGCGTTAAGCTTTGAGCCGAAGAGGAACTTTGCTTCATTAATTCATTACTTCATCAAAAAATTACACTCATCTATAGTACATCCGGAGGTTCTCCGAGTTCCACGTCCGAGGGATGCATCTTCCATCTAAAATGATCCAAATGAAAGGTGCCGAGACCGACGACTTGCTTGATTCTATAGGGGCTCTCTCAGTTGGGGCCCAACTTTTCTACTCCAGGTTCGGGGACCATCACCTTCCTGAGGACGAGTTCTCCCTCTCGGTAGTGTCTTTCTTTCACTTTCGAGTTGTAGTAACGGGCCACTCGTTGATGGTAGGCAGCCACCCTAATTTGTGCTTGCTCCCAAGATTCTTCCAATAGATCCAGGTTTGCTCTAAGTGCTTTACTGTTCTCGACTTTGTTGTATGCTTCAGCTCGGAGCATCGGCTGGCTGATCTCTACTGGGATAACTACTTCTCTACCGTAGGTCAGGCC